CATTTGTGTTGATAATTATAATACTAGCTTCTATACATGTCTACATTTGATTTAGTCTTCATTTCAATATTTGACATTGCAAATGATGTGCCTCACTTTTATTAAAACTGTGAAGTTAATTAAAGTGCCATGATTTTTTTATTATTAAACTCCCCCTGTGGAGAAATACAGCGTTTAATGTAGTTTATGTGTGTATGTGGTGTGTTTAATCCGCTTGAACACACACCGTGTGTAAGTTGATAAGTGGACAGCATTGCTGAGTATTTCCTCCTTAAAACTGCAGTGAACCAAAGACAGTCTCAAAAACACACTTTGGTGTTTCTGACGCCACAAACCACCTTGTAACCAATCAGATCAACGTGTGATCGACAACCATTGGATCTCTGAGTGAGTGAGTGAGTGGAGGCGGGGCTCATTTGCATATTCATAGAACCACACATACTAAATGAGGCAAGGGTGTCGAGTTACATTCAAGATATTTTAAGGCATGACGATGGGAAAAAAACTTTAAATATGTGATTTTGGTGATCAAAGATGAGTTGGAAGACTTGCAGAGAAAAGGTGTAACCTTCTTAAGTTTAAAAATAAAGACTTGTGCTTTTTGAAATCGCACTGACTGCTCAGACTTGATTAAAATGGAACTGGAAAACTGGAGTAAATTTGTTATAACAGTGGTTTACACAGTAGTTTTGCGACAAACCGCTTCAAGTGTAAAGACTGAGTTAAACCAGATCGATCTCGATTCTTCACACCAGACGCGTTCATGAATCGGGCGGCTTTATTTCTCTCACGAGCATTACGGTGGATATCAAGAGTCTTCAATCTCAGTTGTGTTTTAAAGAACTGCATAAAGGTGAGTAAAGTTCTACAGTTCCTCATTAATTCGCTGTTTGATTGCATGATTCATGTAAATGCAAATAACCATCTTATTACCCCATCTGTATTGTTTACATCCTTAATATCTGGACTGAATTCCTCAGTGCTGCTCCTCTGCCTCTCACACACACACACACACATACACCTCTACTTTCTCAACTGATGACCTTCTCCGGATCGTGTCCACTAAACTAACACTGGGATGGGAGAATATTGCAGTAGTTCACGACTATAAATCTTCCTGCTTTCTCTTTTCTGTTCCTCAAACTGACTTCAGTCAACATTCTGCATACTTTTCACAGGGCACCATGAAGGACGGCAACGGTCAGGCTTCAGAAGCTCGAGGTCACACTGCTCTGGTCGCTGAGTCATCAGAACGGTCGACACCCACTGCTGGTCTCCACTGGGTTCTTGCGTATTCTCTATGACTTCAATCAGGCCTAACATATCTAATGCAGCTCAGCTCCTTGTCCAGGGACTCTTCTGCTTTACTAGCTTGACCATCAAGCCTACACAGATGACCCAGATCTTCACAGATGACCCAGATCTTTACGGATGACCCAGACCTTTACGTATGACCCAGACCTTTACGGATGACCCAGATCTTCACAGATGACCCAGATCTTTACGGATGACCCAGACCTTTACGGATGACCCAGACCTTAACGGATGAGCCAGACCTTTACAGATGACCCAGATCTTCACAGATGACCCAGATCTTTACGGATGACCCAGACCTTTACGGATGACCCAGACCTTAACGGATGAGCCAGACCTTTACAGATGACCCAGATCTTTACAGATGACCCAGACCTTTACAGATGACCCAGACCTTTACGGATGACCCAGTTCTTTACGGATGACCCAGATCTTTACGGATGACCCAGACCTTTACGTATGACCCAGACCTTTACAGATGACCCAGATCTTTACAGATGACCCAGACCTTTACAGATGACCCAGATCTTTACAGATGACCCAGAACTTTACAGATGACCCAGACCTTTACGGATGACCCAGTTCTTTACGGATGACCCAGATCTTTACGGATGACCCAGACCTTTACGTATGACCCAGACCTTTACAGATGACCCAGATCTTTACAGATGACCCAGACCTTTACAGATGACCCAGACCTTTACGGATGACCCAGACCTTTACGGATGACCCAGATCTTTACGGATGACCCAGATCTTTACGGATGACTCAGATCTTTACGGATGACTCAGATCTTTATGGATGACCCAGATCTTTACGGATGACTCAGATCTTTACGGATGACCCAGATCTTTACGGATGACCCAGATCTTTACGGATGACCCAGATCTTTACGGATGACTCAGATCTTTACGGATGACTCAGATCTTTACGGATGACTCAGATCTTTACGGATGACTCAGATCTTTACAGATGACCCAGATCTTTACAGATGACCCAGCTCTTTACGGATTACACAGATCTTTACTGATGACCCAGATCTTTACGGATGACCCAGACCTTTACGGATGACTCAGATCTTTACGGATGACCCAGATCTCTGGCGCTCTCACAGATGACTCAGATCTTTACGGATGACTCAGATCTTTACGGATGACCCAGATCTTTATGGATGACCCAGACCTTTACGGATGACTCAGATCTTTACGGATGACCCAGATCTCTGGCGCTCTCACAGATGACTCAGATCTTTACGGATGACCCAGATCTTTACGGATGACTCAGATCTTTACGGATGACCCAGATCTTTACGGATGACCCAGATCTCTTGCGCTCTCACAGATGACTCAGATCTTTACGGATGACCCAGATCTTTACGGATGACCCAGATCTTCACGGATGACCCAGATCTTTACGGATGACCCAGATCTCTGGCGCTCTCACAGATGTCTCAGATCTTTACGGATGACCCAGACCTTTACGGATGACCCAGACCTTTACGGATGACCCAGATCTTTACGGATGACCCAGACCTTTACGGATGACCCAGATCTTTACGGATGACCCAGATCTCTGGCGCTCTCACAGATGACTCAGATCTTTACGGATGACCCAGACCTTTACGGATGACCCAGATCTTTACGGATGACTCAGATCTTCACGGATGACTCGGATCTTTACGGATGACCCGGATCTTTACGGATGACCCGGATCTTTACGGATGACCCAGATCTTTACAGATGACCCAGATCTTTACGGATGACCCAGATCTTTACAGATGACCCAGATCTTTACGGATGACCCAGATCTTTACAGATGACCCAGATCTTTACGGATGACCCAGATCTCTGGCGCTCTCACAGATGACTCAGATCTTTACGGATGACCCAGATCTTTACGGATGACACAGATCTTTACGGATGACCCAGACCTTTACGGATGACTCAGATCTTTACAGATGACCCAGATCTTTACGGATGACCCAGATCTTTACAGATGACCCAGATCTTTACGGATGACCCAGATCTTTACAGATGACCCAGATCTTTACGGATGACCCAGATCTCTGGCGCTCTCACAGATGACTCAGATCTTTACGGATGACCCAGATCTTTACGGATGACCCAGATCTTTACGGATGACCCAGATCTTTACGGATGACTCAGATCTTCACGGATGACCCGGATCTTTACGGATGACCCAGATCTTTACGGATGACCCGGATCTTTACGGATGACCCAGATCTTTACAGATGACCCAGATCTGCAGGCCTGTTTCGAATCACTCTTTCTTTCTAAGATGTTAGAAAAAGTTGTTGCCTCCCAGTTATAGGCCCATTTAACTGCACATAACCTCCATGAGCCTTTCCAGTCTGTTATTCAGTCCTGAAACAGCGCTGGTGAAGGTTCTCTGGCGCTCTCAGCACTCTTCTTCTGTTAGACCTCAGCTCGGCTTTTGACCCGGTAAGTCATGAGATACTCCTCTCACGTCTTTGCCTTTGACTGGTTCTCCTCTAATTGGACAGGGAGACAAAAATGTGTTGTTTACCAGAAGCACGAATCCCTTAGTTCTGGTGTGCCTCAGGGCTCTGTCTTGGGCCCTCTTCTTTTCACCATTGGACAAATTATGACAAACGCTATGGATTAAATTTTCACTGTAATGCTGATGACATGATACAGATTTATTTTAGCACTCCTCCCAGCTCAGTTTCTCCATAGGCTACAATAGCAGCTTGAGTCAAAGGACTCGAGCGTCGACTGGAGACAGACCACCTTCAGACTAACTGCGGTAAGACTAAATCTATCTGGTCAACTGATAGATTGGGATGGCGAGCTGATGGTGTCCTCTACGACAGTCTGTGTTCCTCCACTCATTTAATGCTCACGCTGGTGAAGGTGTGTATCTTTCCTGCTCCTCCGTGATCTCTCGTATTCGCTGCTTTTAGTCAGCCTGATGCTGTAACTGCTGCACATTTGCCAGGTCTTTAGTGTTATGTAATACTCAAACATCTGTCAGGCGTCCTCCATTCTTCCTTCCTAAAAACCTCTTTTCTCAGTAGATCACTCTTCTGCCCTTGCGGTGTGTGTTATGCTTTGCTATTGATGTTGATTTGGTTCTGTTCCTGTAACCTATTTTGTAAAGCGACCTTGGGCTTTGGAAAGATGCTAGCCTATATAAATAAAAATGATTATTGTCACATATTCATTATATTTTTATATTGATATATTCATATTGATTATAGGTATTGTCCCTTGAGAAAAAAATATGTACTCTTTGATATCCTAATTATTCGAAATCGGAATTTAAAAGATGCATGAGATGCTGTGGAAGCTTTCTTTACCTTGATTTAAATGTATTATTCACACATGAGGAATATCACAAGCAGATTATCAAATGTTAATATATATATATATATATATATATAATTTTTTTTAAGTTAAGTGTGTCAACTTCTACAGAAAATGTTCCTAGTTCATGACCTCTTGTGAATGTTTAAATGTTTGTTTTAGTCTTGAGGTTTAAAGGTCTTAATTTGATTCATTCAAGCATGTCTCTCTTTATCGCACACACTCTCTCTCTCTCGCTCTCTCTCTCTCTCACACACACACACTCTTTATATCTCTCACTCACTCACACACACGCTCTTTCTCCCACACACACACACACACACACAGATATAAGTGAGCGCGCGGGGCTCGTTCGTCAGTGTGGCGCGGGTCGCGCGCAGACACGCTCGTGCTCTTCAGATCGACTCGAGAATAAAATAAACGGCAAAGTCCGAGTTTCAGCGGAACAGCAGAATACAGAGGAACGACGTACATGTGTGTGATGGAATCTGCAGCAGTGAACTTTCAGTGAGTGTCTTTCTAGTGTGTGTGTGTGTGTGTGTGTGTGTCAGAGTTGAACTCGCGCACTTCAGTTTCTTCCTTTCCGTTCCTATAAATAACGCGTGTGTGTGTGTGTGTCGGATTCTCCTGTTCAAGCTGGAAACTGAAGTGAAAATACCCGTGTATAAATAACACGTGTGTGTGTGTGTGTGTGTGTGTGTGTGTGTGTGTTTGTGTATAAATAGCCTCTGATGCTCCGGATCTCCGCTGATCTTCTGATTCACCGGTGAGGCGCGCGAATAAACTTCAGTTATTTCTATTCATTATTGTGATTTTTGTTAAAAGAACAGGTAAGAAATTGTTTTACAGTGTCATTATTAAATCACATTATTATTTTAAATGTACACTTACTATAAGAATAATAGTAAATTGTGCATAATTACATGCAACTAACTAACCCTCAACTAAACCCTAACCCCCATGACCCGAACATGTAGTTTATTAATATTACTTAAATATATAGGAATTACACCGAAACAATCACATCTTAAAATGAAGTGTCAGCAACATTACACACATTATTGACTTTCTGTCAGTCTGATACACACTCACTGCAAACTCTCTGTTTGTCCTCAGGTGTGTGTGTGTGTTATGAGCTCATCATGGGTGAAGCCTTCACACACACGAAGCTCTGCGGGAAACATCTGCGTCTGCTGCTCTTCATCCTCCTGCCGTGTGTGTGTGGCCTGATCTGTGTGTGTGTGCTCCTGCTGATGCTCACAGGTAACACACTCTCACTATGCATGCACACACACACACACACACACACACACACACACACACACACACACACACACACACACACACACACACACACAGTGTTTTGAGAAAAACTACTGATACACAACACACTCACATCATGTAAGTTATAACGCACACTCACTCTCTCTCTCTCTCTCCCACACACACACACACACACACACACACCCCTGCTGTCTCTGTACATGCTAATGTGTGTTTGATAATTAGAGCTGTTATGTCATGTGTCGTGTTTTTGTGATTTTCAGGCCGTTTACGTTTCGTTTATTCTCTTGCCAAATGAGTCACGGCTGATATTCACTGAACGAGGAGTTTATCTTCACGAACCCTCTTGAACACACACACACACACACACACACACACACACACACACTGGCTGCGTTTACAGGCCCAGCTGGTGTTTCCGTCGCGCTGAACTGAGTCGACTGATGGATCTGAGCGCAGTGTGTTCATGAGCCTGAACATGTGATCGGGGTGATGTGTGTGTGTGTGTGTGTGTGTGTGTGTCGGAGCAGTGTTTTTGACCTGCGCTCACTGCAGGAATATACAGAGTTTCCCGTCGTAATTACTATTCTCTACAGTACTTCTTTATTTCTTTTAAACAGCAAACTTCATATTTATCCATAGTTTAGAGATGATGAGCCGCTGCTTATATTGATCACGCAGTAAAAATGCCCAAACCCAGTCGTGTGTGTATGAGAGTCTGAACGCCATTTCTATGTCATTATGCTGTTTGAGTTTTGATATCTGATTGGTCCTTATAAAAGCTCAAGGTCAAAAGGTCAGTCTGGACTCAATGGCGCCACCAGGGGGTGGCCAGGGGTGGCCATGGCCACCCCTGGCCGACTCCTGGCCACCCCATTGGCCACCCCAATGGCCAGTATTAATTTTTGTAGCATCAGTTATGCATTTTATAAATAAGTCAAAAATATTCTTAAGTAAAAGAAGACGGGGAAGTATGTGTCGTGACGTGCTTTTTAAGTGCCAAATGGTATACTGTTACAGCAGCTTTTAGGTGTGTTTTTGCCACGTTTGGACAGGCAGGGATGCAAACAGCCACGTTTTCACGTCAGTTTGGGTGACAAAGTCATCTGAAGTCATTCCATAGCTTAATGTGAGGGACAGAAGTATATTTACATCATTAAAGTATAAACTCGTTTTCCCTCCTCTGCGGCTGTCATCATTCTCCATTCATATTCAAACAGCACGCGCGCCTCTTGGATGCACGGTAAAACTCTCTCCAATATGATATATTGACATTATAAATGCATGATCTGTAGATAAAAGTCTGTATATTCGCATAAAATTACTTTATTTTCTTGGAGTTTGTTGCTGTTTTTTAACGACTCACTACCGTGTTCTGTTAGATCACACATACATATCACAAGGATTATGAATCGGCATCAAACGCACAATAACTGTGAAACAAAGGAACAAATCGCACTTGGATTTGTGCGCTCAACATTTCTTCGATTTGTGACATGAGCTTTTAAATGCGCACTAATGAAGCGCAGTGCTGCTGCACATTGTGACTCCATGTTGCTTTGAGCACATCATTCTTCACCCGCGATGCGCATACACGCTGTGTGCTCTCTGTTTTTCATGTAATCATGGGTTTGCGCACTGAAATATTATTAAAAGCCAATATATTTCGTTATACCTAGCCTGCTCAATACATTTTAAATAAGCATAATTTAATTGTATATAATTTATTTGTAGTTTAGGCTATGCACTTCTGAATTCTTGACATTAATATATAAATATAAAATTGTGACATGATTGCCTGATTGAATTTTAAAAGAGAACTAATAGTAATTTGTTTTTATTAACATATTTAGATTTTATAAAATTACTGTGCAGATTTTTTTCAAGAATTACTTTTTGCTGCTGATGTATACACTCATTAAGTGTATTAAAAATTCATAATACATTTATGTAATATTTAAAGGTGTTAACTGTAATCTTACACTGCAAACTAATAACTTAAAAATGATTAAATTCATCACAATTATGTAAGTATCTGGAAATTTGCTGTGGGGCAAGGACCCTTATATATCATATAATATATATCATTATATACAATGTAATATATATTAGTTGGGCCCTACTAATATCATTAGTAACATTAAATATTACACAATAAACCAAAGTATATCAGTAGGAGTTTCCTTGAGTCTTTCTGATAGTTTTCTACAGGCTGGTTTATTACAACAGTAGAAAACAATTCTGAAATTATGGTTTATACTGTAGTTTTGGTGTGCCACCCCAAGATTTTAACTGGCCCCATCTGGCCACCCCTACGAAAAATTTCTGGAGGCGCCACTGTCTGGACTGATGATAAACTGCCTTTACTCTCTCTCTCTCTCTCTCTCTCTCTCTCTCTGCTGTGTGTGTGTTGGCTGGACTGTCTCTCTGGTGGACGTGATCTGCGCTGTGAAACAGAGACGCTCGTCTGTGTGTTTGTCCTGCTGTGTCACTGAGTCTGTTTTTGCACCGTCACAGTGTCTCTCGGATCGCTTCAAAATGTGCTTAACATAATAAATAATAAATAACGCTAAAGCAGTTTTAATGTTTACAGTGGATCATCATACATGGACATTATTTACACACATGCATTAAAAAAGATAAGTAGACAATCAGTCCAATTATTTTTTAATTTATGAACTATTTAGAATATTGTTTACTATTCAGTGAGCGAGTGTGTGAGAGGGTGTGTGTGTGTGTGTGTGTGTCTATAAATATTCTCACTACTTCAGCTGTTACTGGTCTTATATTTAAACTGTCCAGCAGCAGATATTAGTGTGTATGGATGTCTTTTATCGACTCGAGTTTTTCCTGTTTGTCCAGGTTTATTTGGGAACGGCCTGCTGGATGGCGGGGTTTCCGTCTCCATAGCAACGCTCTCGGTTAACGGCACTGACCCGGTGACGGGTGGTAACGGATCGGTCCCGACACACACTCCTTCTCACTGGATGCCTCGCACCGACAGCTCTTCATCATCATCATCCTCTTCATCAGTGGGTCCCACTGCTGTGGCCTCGCCTGATTGGTGGACATCCGTCTCCACGGCGACAAGCATGAGCACACAGACCGGTACTGGAAGGGTTAAATTAATACTTTGTTCAAATTGAGCCTGTGCTCGTCCTTTAAATATCGCAGATCAGATCCACTCAAATATGACTTCAGGTCACATGACTGATTCACATGATTAGGGACTGGCGTTATAACGACTCATCCGTATATCTGAAAAAAGTGAGTCGTCTATATAGTCATTTTTAGGTGAACTCTCCCTTTAAATTTCAAATGCTTCAGTTTATGTTTTATCATCTGCTTTATCCTTCTCTCTCTCTCTTTCTCTCTCTCTCTTTCTCTCTCTCTCTCTCTCTCTCTCTCTCTCTCTCTCTCTCTCTCTCTCTGTCTCTCTCTCTCTGTCAAACGTCTCGCATCTTTTGTCCTCTACAGACCATCGGCTAATCTAATATAGCCCAGAATTCTCCCGTCTATCTCTCTCTGTCCGTCTGTCTGCGCGTGTGTGTGTGTTTAAGTGTTTCAGTGTCCTTAGTGAAGGTTCTGTCCTAAAAGTCGTCTGTGAGTGTGTGTCCTCTTGTGATGACCTCTGCTGGAGCTTTTATTTGTGTCTGTCTCCTAATGATTAATCATCTTTCCTGAGGTGTGTGTGTGTGTGTGTGTGTGTGTGAGAGGGCTGTTCCTCTCGTCTTTCTGACATTGACTTGAGCACCAGAATCACAATTACAATAACTGACTCTTAGAGAGACTCACTCTCACACACACACACACACACGCATTGCATTCATTCATACACACTCACACATTCACTCACTCATTCACTCTCTCTCTCCCCCACACACACACTAATACACATACACACTCACTCAACAGTGGTTCATTGCTTTAGGTGATCATCATTATTGGTGACTCTTATCGATTAAGTTTGACATCATCAATAGTAACAGTGTTGAAGTGATGAAAACACCGGCCACTGAAATCACTCCTTGCTCAGTGCATCAGCCAATCAGATCCCTCCTCTGTGTGTATCAGGTTCCTGCTCTGACATCACAGAGAGCCAGTGTCACATGCTGCCGTATAATCAGAGCGGCCTGTTGCCGGGGGTGACGGTCGTCAAGAGCAACGAGATCCAGATGTTCCTGAAGTTCTTCACCTATCTGAGTCGGCTGTCCTGCTACAGACACATCATGCTGTTCGGATGCTCCATCGCACTCCCACAATGCATCAGCCACAGAGATCACAGGTCAGTGACCGGCATCACACAGTGTAATAATACAGTATACTCCGCAAAACCGGCCAATGAGAGGCTATTAAAGGGTTAGTTGACCCAAAAATTAAAATTCTGTCAGTATTTACTCTCCCTCGTGTTGTTCAACCCCGTAAGACCTTCGTTCATCTTCGCAACACAAATTAAGATATTTAAGATATTAAGATCGCTCCATAGGCTTCTTGAGGGAATGACTCAAAGTCATTAAAGACATCGTTAAAATAGTTCAAGTGACTACAGGGGCTCAATCTTAACTTTATCAAACGACGAGAACACTTTTGTGCGCAAAAAAACAACAAAAATAAGGACTTTATTTCAAGTATTGGTTTATTTCTCCCTCTGCGCGAGTCAGGTTACTAGTTTAATAGCGTAAGCTTCTGTTATTGTACGTCACATGCATCACACACATGACCAGCGTCGGCCAATAGCGAGCCTTCGTGTGACGTAGCTTTACGCAATCACACTATGCTAACTGACTACAGGCCCATGGAGAAGGAAGTGAATAGTTGAAATAAAGTCATTATTTTTGTTGTTGTTTTTGCGCACAAAAGTGTTCTCGTCGTTTGATAAAGTTTAGATTGAGCCCCTGTAGTCACTTGGACTATTTTAACGATGTCTTTAATGACTTTTCGAGTCATTCCCTCAAGAAGCCTATGGAGCGATCTTAATATCTTAAATATCTTAATTTGTGTTGCGATGATGAACGAAGGTCTTACGGGGTTGAACAACATGAGGGTGAGGAAATACTGACAGAATTTTCATTTTTGGGTGAACTAACCCTTTAACTACCATTATATAGTTCACAGCGATCATCGCCCCCTAGCGGTGAACCGTTGAAATCTCTAAACGTTTCCAAACCGCTTCGCCTCATTTACTGAAATCACATGATTTTGGTGGTTTGATCCACTGATTCGACACAAAAGATTTGTAAAGGTTTTGAAGCGTCATGAAGCAGTGTCTCGAAACGCCGTAGTGTGTGAGTGTGTGGTCACGTGAGTCAGTACTATATGAAACAAATGCTTTTCTTACGCAGTATTTTATCTAGTTTCCAGTCTAAAGCCCATTCTTAAATCAACATGTATTTACTAAAGTAGTCGAATGACATAAGATATGCTTTTCCTTAAAACAAGAAAAATGACCTGCCAATGTGGTTAATTTTTCTCACCCCACGAATAATCTATTCGATATTGAGCCTGTTCTGCAGTGTGTCTCTGGTGCTGCCGTGTCAGTCGTTCTGCGAAGCGGCCCGTGAAGGCTGTGAACCCGTCCTGCAGATGTTCAACACGTCCTGGCCGGAGTTCCTGCGCTGCTCCCAGTTCTCCAACAGCACAGCGCTCTGCTACACGCCGCGCCACGCCACGGGGAGACTCTGTGAGTCCCACACACCGCTTTCTGCAGCTGCCGGAGCTCATCTGGAGGGAAGTTGTGACGGTTTGTGTTTCTGTGATTGTTGTCTCCAGCTGTGTGTGGAGGAAGCGATCACTTCCTGTGTGCGACGGGAATATGTGTCCCCCTCAAACTGGTGTGCAACGGATACAACGACTGCGACGACTGGAGCGACGAGGCCAACTGCTGTGAGTTTCCTTTGTGTGTTCAGCTCCGCAGGAAACCAGAAGATCATGATAGCGTCATCAAGTTGTGGAAGTTTAGTTATTATGTCAGAGATTCATAGTAAATATTAATGAGTCATTGGATGATTAGAGGAACGTTAATTAGATGTCTGCTTTGAGAAGCGATCTGACTGATCGTCTCCTTCTGGGGTTCGTCCAGCTTGTGCAGACGGACAGCACGTGTGTGCGACCGGTCGCTGTGTGAGCGCTGACCTCCTGTGCGACGGCTACGACGACTGCGGCGATCTGAGCGATGAGCAGAACTGTGGTGAGTACGTTTATCACACACTCAGAGAACACACACACACTCAGAGAACACACACACTCAGCACATGTATTCATCTGATCCCATCAAACACATATACAACACACCTGCAGACTGGAGTTGCCCTTTCACCTTTGGCTTTTGGCTTGCTTAGTTGGGGACATTTAATTTAATATTCATAGATATTATCGACTAGCCTGACTTCATCATACTCTTATTAAAGAGAGAATAAGAGTCTGAAACTCCTCCGTTGGGCTTTGATTATGAGGCGTGTCGTAACCGAACCACGACAAAAAAACCCTCTGCACTCAATTGGATAGTCGGTAGACCTACAACCAATCAGAGCAACGCATAAGTCAACTCCTTTGCATAGCGCAGTTTTCAACTCCAGAACGTAGCCTAACTTTATTTATTTTAGAAGTGAAATAACGAGTGTTGCTTCTTTTCCTTACTCCTCCATGAGTGCCACCACAGGAGAAACCACAGCGACCTCAGGCTGTTCATTACGTCCATCTTCTTAACGACCGTCAGAGTCAGCTGATGAGTTACACTTTTCCCGAATCATGTGGGGAGGACGGCAACAATATCTTTCCCATCGACAAATGCCTTGATTGCAGTTTCTGTTTGTCTATTAAAACGAATGCGCTGTCGATTCGTTTCACAACAGATGCGACAGAGGAATCTGTACGTCTCAATTCTCCATCTCTGAGGGATAACGTGATGATTACGTCCCTGCAGATCACCTGTCCATCATCGTATAAAGCCCGCCCTGGCAATTTGATTGGCGCGAACGTTTTTTGCCTGCTCATAATCACTCCTCAATGGATCGAGTCCAGACCGAACTTCCCGACCAAAAAATATTGTGGGCGGAGTTCAGGCTGGCATCCAGGCTAATTACCGACACCGTTATATGAGAACTTCGCTATATTACCGATACCGATACTTTGTTATATTTGAAAGCCGATAACTGATATATTGGCAGCTAAATCAAAATTTACATTTACATCACAAAACCTGTTACATCATCATCATCATCACCATTGGTGTTTATCAGCCGGAAAGCTTTGACCAGATGTTTTGAACAGTTGGTTGTTTATCAGGTTCAACGTTCTACTTCCCGATAAAGAATAAAGGATCTGCTGATGTGTTTTTTGTTCTGTCCTGACGTGTAATTATGGGCTGTCGTCAGTGTGTGATTCGGCGGAAGAGCATCGCTGTGGAGAAGGACGCTGTGTTCCTCGAGACTGGCTCTGTGACGGAGACCACGACTGCCTGGACAAGAGCGACGAGACGAACTGCTGTGAGTGTGTGTGTGTGTGTGTGTGTGTGTGTGTGTGTGTGTGTGTGTGTGTGTGTGGCTCTGTGACGGAGACCACGACTGCCTGGACAAGAGCGACGAGACGAACTGCCTTCACTATACTGTGTGTTTGTGTAACCCTGCAGTGCATTAACACGTGTGTGTGTGTGTGTGTGTGTGTGTGTGTGTGTGTAGCGTGTAAGTCCCAGGGTCTAGTGGAGTGCAGGAACAAGCAGTGCATCCCCAGTGCCTTTCGCTGCGATGGTGAAGAGGACTGTAAAGATGGCAGTGATGAAGAAAACTGCACACAACAACAGAGTGAGTACACACACACACACACACACACACACGCACACGCACACGCACACACACACACACACACACACGCACACACACTGATGGCTCTGTCTCTCAGCTCAGGGTGTGTGTCCTCCTGGTCAGTCCAGTTGTTCTTCCTCCTCCTGCTCCTCTGGCTGTCATGGAAACACGTCATGTGACCTGCGCAACAACACTGGCAACAACTGCAGTGAGTGACCTCTGACCTCTGTCCACACACAGAGTACTGCAGAGACACCCATGTTTCACTCTAGATTTAGTGTGCGTTAGTTTATCCAAACAGCCGTTTAAGCGTCCTGACTGCACACTTTAACCCCTGACCCAGAGAGGTCACGGCAGTGGACCCCACTGACCCCATCAGTGACCTCTAGTGGATCGTGCTGTACACCACCTGACACATGAACCTGCTTTCTGTTATTGAAGTGCGCATGTATGTAATGTGTGTGTGTGTGTGTGTGTGTTAGAGCCCGACCGATAAAGGATTTTGAAGGCCGATACAAATATTTTTGGCTTTTAAAATCTGATATATCGGCCGATATTTTTTTGTTTTTATTAAATATTGTTGTATTTCACACCCGTGTAAAAGAAAAGCGAACTTTTCTGCACAAGATACGTTTGATACTTTTTCTCTATGTCTAAATGTTCCTTGCAAGTATAACTTACATTTTACAATGCAGGGACTGTAACTAGAGATATACGAGTTATAAATACAGTAATCATTACTTTATTTAGGCAGAAAACCTTCATTGTGGTTTCCAAGCTCATTAATGTTAACGTTAGTCTTCCACTGATGATAGCGGCGTTAGCTAGCTTTGTCTATGATGAGCCATAATTTAGCAATAGATGACATCATACTGCAAATTGTAAAACATACATGTTCAATATATCAGGCCAAGGAGAGATGATTGAAGCGTGTTTCGTCCGTTTTTATTTTATTTTTTAAATATATTCATTTATCGGCCATTATAACTGCCGATACCGATATTATGGAAAATGCCTAATATCGGCCGATATATCAATCTGGCTCTAGTGTGTGTGTTCTGACGAGAGTGTGTGTGTGTGTGTGTTGCAGGCGTGTGTGAGCCCATCTCTGTGGAGATCTGCATGAACCTGCCGTATAACTCCACGCGGTTCCCCAACTATCTGGGCCACCAGTCGCAGAAGGAGACGTCGCTGAGCTGGGAGTCGTCGCTGTTCCCCGCGCTCGTGCAGACGCACTGCTACAAGTTCCTCATGTTCTTCGCCTGCACTGTGTTAGTGCCCATGTGTGACCCGGTGACGCAGCAGAGAGTGCCGCCCTGCAGGTCAGTGTGTGTGTGTGCACCTTTATGATCACATATAATCAGGGTTTGAAATGAACTTCTTCTCTCTGCTCGATGTTTTAGTTTCTGGCTAATCAGAACTTCCTCTGGCTGAAAAGAAATGACCTGATCAACTGCGTCACAGCTTATATATATATATATTAGAACATTTAGATTCCATTCATTCATTTATTATCTAAATCCTGTCATCCAAACATGTTTAGTTGCAGGACACAGAACACCAGAGACATGTCCATGCTGGACAATAACTGTGTGATTTTTAATGTCCGCTATCGCTTCAATATTAAGGAACAAGCGTGCCGTTATTTCTCGTGTGGGGACGAGTGTGTTCACGTGAGCAGGTTCTGTGTAATCCGCTTTAATATATCACGACTCTGGAGTATTTGTGCTGAATCTGCACTGATTCGTCGAGTGAGTAAACATGATGAGTTCATCGCCACATCGGCTCGTGATTGACGGCGTTTCCCGCCACTGCTGATTGTTCCCCGCGTTTGGCGTGTGCTTATGTCAAACCCTTTACATTGATGTGTGTGTGTGTGTGTGTGTGTGTGTGTCAGGTCTCTGTGTAAGAACTCAAAGGAGCACTGTGAGTTAGTGCTAGGCATTGTGGGATTGCAGTGGCCAGAGGACACAGACTGCGCTCAGTTTCCAGAGGAAGGTCAAGCGAACACTTCCTGTTTACTTCCTGACCCGGATGTGAACGGTGAGTGCACACACACACACACACACACACACACACTCACAACCCTGAGATGAGTCAGTCTTCCTGAAACACACAGAACTAAATTAAACATGTCTGCGATGAGCAGAAGAACCGCATGAACGAACACAATCGGTTTCAGTGTGAGAGTGGTGGACGTGATCTGACCAGTGTGACTCGACCAGTGAGAGAGTTCTGTCTCCTCACACTGACACACACTCCTGCACATGCCCTCCTCTAACACACACTCCTGCACATGCCCTCCTCTAACACACACTCCTGCACATGCCCTCCTCTAACACACACTCCTGTCCAGAGCAGAAATCGCCGTCAGTGTGCCGAAGAGCTTTTACTGGTTCATGATCAACACATGACATCATCACTCACATTTACCCGCTAGAGTCACACTATCAAGAGCACAGCAAAGGTCATTCTGTAACCTCTGTGTGTGTGTGTGTGTGTGTTAGAGTGCTCTCCCAGTCACTTCAAGTGTCGCTCGGGAAGGTGTGTGCTCTCCTCCAAACGCTGCGATGGATACACAGACTGTGACGACGACAGCGACGAGGAAACATGCGGTGAACATAAACACACACACATGACGTGATAAACACACTCAAACACCACAAACACACTCGTGTGCTGACTCCTGCGTCTCTGTCTCCAGGCTGTGTGGAGCGGGGCTTGTGGGAATGTCCTGGAGACAAAACCTGCATCCGTCAAAACATGATCTGTGACGGGTTCCCTGACTGCAGCCAACAGGAGGACGAGAAGAACTGCTGTGAGCGACACACACACACACACACACACACACACACACACACTGACACACACACTAACTCAATCACACACACACTGACACTCAAACTCACCACACACACTCTCAGAGTTTAGTGGTGCTGTAGTGTGTATGTGCACATTCTTATATATGTGTGTGTGTGTGTGTGTGTGTGTGTGTGTGTGTGTGTGTGTGTGTGTGTGTGTGTGTGTGTGTGTGTGTGTGTGTGTTTTCAGCCGCATGCAGCAGTCATGAGCTGGAGTGTAACAATCATCAGTGTGTTCAGCGGTCGCTGTGGTGTGACGGCAGGAGACACTGTTCCGACAGCTCAGACGAGTGGGACTGCGGTAAGAGAGCCTGGTTACAGCGCACGGGTCTGATCTCGCGTCTACAGCGCACGGGTCTGATCTCACGTCTACAGCGCACGGGTCTGATCTCTCGGGTCCGATCTCGCGTCTACAGCGCACGGGTCCGATCTCACGTCTACAGCTCACGGGTCCGATCTCGCGTCTACAGCGCACGGGTCTGATCTCTCGGGTCCGATCTCGCGTCTACAGCGCACGGGTCTGATCTCTCGGGTCCGATCTCGCGTCTACAGCGCACGGGTCTGATCTCGCGTCTACAGCGCACGGGTCCGATCTCGCGTCTACAGCGCACGGGTCTGATCTCGCGTCTACAGCGCACGGGTCCGATCTCACGTCTACAGCTCACGGGTCCGATCTCGCGTCTACAGCGCACGGGTCTGATCTCTCGGGTCCGATCTCGCGTCTACAGCGCACGGGTCTGATCTCGCGTCTACAGCGCACGGGTCCGATCTCGCGTCTACAGCGCACGGGTCTGATCTCTCGGGTCCGATTTCTCGGGTCCGATCTCACATCTACAGCGCACGGGTCTGATCTCTCGGGTCCGATCTCACGTCTACAGCTCACGGGTCCGATCTCGCGTCTACAGCGCACGGGTCTGATCTCTCGGGTCCGATCTCACGTCTACAGCGCACGGGTCTGATCTCTCGGGTCCGATCTCACGTCTACAGCTCACGGGTCCGACCTCACGTCTACAGCGCACGGTTCTGATCTCTCGGGTCCGATCTCACGTCTACAGCACACGGTTCTGATCTCACGGGTCCGACCTCACGTCTACAGCGCACGGTTCTGATTTCTCGGGTCCGATCTCGCGTCTACAGCGCACGGGTCTGATCTCTCGGGTCCGATCTCGCGTCTACAGCGCACGGGTCCGATCTCACGTCTACAGCTCACGGGTCCGATCTCGCGTCTACAGCACACGGGTCTGATCTCTCGGGTCCGATTTCTCGGGTCCGATCTCACATCTACAGCGCACGGGTCTGATCTCTCGGGTCCGATCTCACGTCTACAGCTCACGGGTCCAATCTCGCGTCTACAGCGCACGGGTCTGATCTCTCGGGTCCGATCTCACGTCTACAGCGCTCGGGTCCGATCTCACGGGTCCGATCTCGCGTCTACAGTGCTCGGGTCCGATCTCTCGTCTTCAGCGCACGGGTCCGATCTCTCGTCTTCAGCGCACGGGTCCGATCTCTCGTCTTCAGCGCACGGGTCCGATCTCTCGTCTTCAGCGCACGGGTCCGATCTCGCATCTACAGCGCTCGGGTCCGATCTCGCGTCTACAGCGCTCGGGTCCGATCTCGCGTCTACAGTGCACGGCTCCAGGCCCTCACACTGAGTCCGAAATTCGCAGTCTCACGTAAATAAAAAATAAATACGACCTCACGTTATGTCAATCACGCTGTGAAACCTTCGTCCGTCAAACAAAAAATCGTATTGGGTTTGATTTTCTGCATTTTTCGCATCCGTAGCTCAAGCAATTTTGACAATTCTGAGCCACTGAATCACGAATACGGAAAAACACATTTGGAAATCGGACTCAGTGTGCGTGGGCCTTTCGCAGGGCTTATAATAATCTTTTACATTGTAATGAGGGACGTACAGTACTCGATGCAGTGATGTGTGTGTGTGTGTGTGTGTGTGTGTGCGCAGTGTCTCTGTCCGACGAGGGCTTGCTGCTGGTGTATAAGGCTGGGCTGGAGTATCAGGTGTGTGCGGACGGATGGAGCTCAAACCTCAGCAGCCTCACGTGCACACAGATGGGTTTAGGGTAAGGTCAGTACACACACACACGCGTGCACCAAACACACACTCAGTGAGAGAGATGCAGGTTGACTGTAGTGACCGCCACGCTCCGCTCTGGAGAATCTAATCTAATATCAGACGTTATAATGCTGCTGTTGCCGAGGTTGGTTATGAGGGAAACTGTGTTTGCCAGTTAGTTGTTCAAAATGACAGCGAGTATGTAGATGTTTGATCATGTCCAAAATGTCTTCATTATTTAAAAATCTGTGTGTGTGTGTGTGTGTGTAGTTCTCCGGTCTCCTCAGATGCAGTGCTGGATGTGTCTTCTTCTGCGGGACGGAGGCGCTGGCTGCACGTCGACCCAGAATCAAGTCCACAGAACATGATTCCTCTACAGGGCCGGCTGGAAAAACGAGGGTGAGTGTGTGTGTGTGTGTGTTAGTGAGTGTGTTAGTGAGTGAGTGAGTGTTTGAAACGCGCATCACTGTTCTCTACATCACTTCCTCCTGCAGGCAGAGCTGCCCATCATACAAGAGGATCTCACTGCAGTGTGCAAGAGACGGTGTGTATGCCTGACTGAGACACACACACATACACACACACACACGTGCACTCATTCACTCTCTCTCTGTGTGTCAGATTGTGGGCGACGCCCTGCGGCCCGGATGGTGAAGAGGATTCTGGGAGGCCGAACGAGTCGCCCGGGCCGCTGGCCGTGGCAGTGCTCACTACAGAGTGAACCCAGCGGACACATCTGTGGCTGTGTGCTCATCGGGGACAAGTGGGCTCTCACTGTCGCTCACTGCTTCGAGGGGTAAGAGAACACACACACTCTCACTAGAGACACACACACACACACACAAAGAATATCATACACTTCAGGGTGAGTAAATCGTGGGCTAATTTTAATGTTTGGGTGAACTATCCTTTTTTTAGCAAATTAGATTTTATTTAAGGCACTTTCAAAACTGAATTTCATTTCATTTCAATAAAAGATGCGATGCTTGATTTGGTTCATATTTGTTTATTGTGCTCGCTTGTGCCCTCTTGTGGACATAGGATACAATATAATGATAATAATTTACTATAATAACAATACAAAAACAATACATTTTAAACTGAGTTTTGACATATATAGCGATTGTAAGTCGCTTTGGATAAAAGCATCAGCTAAATGAAGAAATGTACATGAATTCATTGCATGGTGTGTTAAAATAATAGAAAAAGCACACAGTAAGAGTGTGAGTAAGAGCGTGAGTAAGAGCGTGAGTAAGAGCGTGAGTAAGAGCGTGAGTAAGAGCGTGAGTAAGAGCGTGAGTAAGTGTAAGAGTGTGAGTAAGAGCGTGAGTAAGAGTGTGAGTAAGAGCGTGAGTAAGAGCGTGAGTAAGAGCGTGAGTAAGAGCGTGAGTAAGTGTAAGAGTGTGAGTAAGAGCGTGAGTAAGAGCGTGAGTAAGAGCGTGAGTAAGAGCGTGAGTAAGAGCGTGAGTAAGAGCGTGAGTAAGTGTAAGAGTGTGAGTAAGAGCGTGAGTAAGAGTGTGAGTAAGAGCGTGAGTAAGAGTGTGAGTAAGAGCGTGAGTAAGAGTGTGAGTAAGAGCGTGAGTAAGTGTAAGAGTGTGAGTAAGAGTGTGTGTAAGAGCGTGAGTAAGTGTAAGAGTGTGAGTAAGAGTGTGAGTAAGAGTGTGTGTAAGAGCGTGAGTAAGAGTGTGAGTAAGAGTAAGAGTGTGAGTAAGAGTGTGAGTAAGAGCGTGAGTAAGTGTAAGAGTGTGAGTAAGAGTGTGAGTAAGAGTGTGTGTAAGAGCGTGAGTAAGAGTGTGAGTAAGAGTAAGAGTGTGAGTAAGAGTGTGAGTAAGAGCGTGAGTAAGAGTGTGAGTAAGTGTAAGAGTGTGAGTAAGAGTAAGAGTGTGAATAAGTGTAAGAGTGTGAGTAAGAGTGTGAGTAAGAGTAAGAGTGTGAGTAAGAGTAAGAGTGTGAATAAGTGTAAGAGTGTGAGTAAGAGTGTGAGTAAGAGTAAGAGTGTGAATAAGTGTAAGAGTGTGAGTAAGAGTGTGAGTAAGAGTAAGAGTGTGAGTAAGAGTGTGAGTAAGAGTGTGAGTAAGAGTGTGAGTAAGAGTGTGAGTAAGAGTAAGAGTGTGAGTAAGAGTGTGTGTAAGAGTGTGAGTAAGAGTGTGAGTAAGAGTGTGAGTAAGAGTGTGAGTAAGTGTAAGAGCGTGAGTAAGAGTGTGAGTAAGAGTGTGAGTAAGAGCGTGAGTAAGAGTGTGAGTAAGAGTGTGAGTAAGTGTTGATCTGTGCAGGCGTGAGAGCGCAGACGTGTGGAAGGTGGTTCTCGGGATCAATAATCTGGATCATCCTTCTCCACACATGCAAACGCGGCGAGTGCGAAGCATCATCGTTCACTCGCGCTACAACCGTGCGGTGGTGGACTACGACATCAGTGTGGTGGAGCTGGAGTCCGAGGTACTGGTGACCAGTTACGTGCGGCCCGTCTGTCTGCCTCGCTTAGGGACGCTTCCCAAACCGGACCAGTACTGCCACATCACCGGCTGGGGACACGTGGGCAACAGAAGTGAGTCTGACGCTCCTCTATAGGGGCGTACACCACCTGATGATGAGGATGATGATGATGATGATGATGATGTGTTCCTCCAGTGCCGTTTAAGCTGCAGGAGGGGGAAGTGCGGATCATCTCCGTCTCTCAGTGTCAGTCTTACTTCAACATGAAGACCATCACGTCACGCATGCTCTGCGCCGGATACGAGGCCAGAACCATCGACTCCTGCATGGTGAGTGTGTGCGTGTGTGTTGTCATGGTAACATCATGAGTGTGTGTATGTGTGTGTCGTCACAGTGACATCATGAGTGTGTGTGTGTGTGTGTGTTGTCATGGTAACATCATGACTGTGTGTATTTGTGTGTCGTCACAGTGACATCATGAGTGTGTGTGTGTGTGTGTGTGTGTTGTCATGGTAACATCATGACTGTGTGTATGTGTGTGTCGTCACAGTGACATCATGAGTGTGTGTGTGTGTGTGCAGGGTGACAGTGGTGGGCCGCTGGTGTGTGAGGAGGATGACGGCCGCTGGTCTCTCTACGGTTTGACCTCCTGGGGCTCCGTGTGTTTCTCTAAGGTCCTGGGCCCCGGGGTCTACGCCAACGTCACTCACTTCACCCAGTGGATCGAGAGACAGATCTACCTGCGCACGTTCAGCCTGCTCTAGACGCACACACACACACACACATCATTCCGTGCGCTCGTCTGGACTGTCCCACACACACGCTTCACTCGTGCTGGTGATGCTGGACTGATCCTCCAGGGGGCGACGGTGTCCGTCAGATTCAGGATCTGCTGTAAACATGCGGCCAGTGAAACTCCTGCTCCAGCCGACAGAATCAGAGCGCTTTAACACACATGATCCAGAAACACACATGAACGCCACACACAGCTCCTGCCGTCACACCACGGGCCGCTCACACCGACGACGAGGACGATACAGCGCTCTAAAACTCTTTCTCAGTATCACAGAACAGCAGAGATCACGGCGATGACGATAGAGACACGAGACCGCTGGGATCACCGTCAGGACCATTTCTTTCCAGCTGTCGAATGATAAAACACGGACAGCCAATCAGAAGTCGCTCGAATCTAAAGGAATCGCGCATTTAAAGCGACAGGCAACGAAATCCACCCGTGTTTGACGGAAACAATCGTTCGCACGCTCTGAGTAAACAGTCAGAAGTTCCTCCTCTGCAGTCGCGGTGAAGAAGACTGGTGTTGTTGTGCTAACCCTTTCCCTGAAGGGGTGTGTGTAAGACGGACATGACACCTTCATTATCATCACATGACAAGTGTGTTGAATATGAAGTATGTTTTCTGCCTGTTCATGACGTTTTTAAAGTGTCGTTCTTAATGCAAATCTGACATTGTTTGAGATGTCTTTATGATATCTTGACATAAACCGATACATCATAACCTGTCAGTGTCATGACAACTTGACACTAAATGAAGTTAATCTGTCGTGTGATTGGCTTTGACATTGGCTGTCATGAGGCATTATAACTGTGTCATGAATATTTTTCATGTCCTTAACTAGAGAGTTATAATGCTTCATGACAGCCAATGTCAAACCCAACCACCTGACAGATTAATGTAATGTTCACCCATGAAGCTCAGTGGTTTCTTAAGTTTGATAATTCATCTGCTAATGACATCAGGTTGTGTTGTCAAGCTATCATAACAAACGCATCTTAAACAATGTCATATTTGTATTAAAAATGTCATAACCGAGCGAATGACACTTAATGACATTCGTCAGAAACATGCATAAAACTTCATATTCAACACACTTGTCATGTGATGATGATGAAGCTGTCATGTCAGTCAAGTTCAAGTAAAGTGTTCCCGTTGTGTGTACTGCACTATATGGACTCGATCCCGCTAGCTTCACTCGACAGCGCGCTGAGGCCCCCTGCTGGAGACAGTCTGTAAGTGCACCACGGCCCGCAGCGACGTCACACACACCGCTATCGCTATCGTTCGCTGGTGTGATCGGCCCTTACATCTATAAACAGCCGTAATGAAATATATTCTGATAATTAACATTACTTGGATTGTCCTGATAGATGGACAGCCTCGGCTCAAACTCGGCGCTCGCAACGCCAACGCCACGGGTTCGAATCCCAGGGAAAGCGATGTTGCTTGACTTCAGTGTGAGTCGCTCAAATGCAGAAATGTAAATACAGTCAAACCAACATCGGACACCTTCATCATGTCTCACATCATCATCAGTTTATAAACATGAGCAGAACTCAGTTCTCAGATCAGTGGATATTGGACTGGTTTTGTCCGTCCTTCTTTTATAGATAATACCAGTTCAGCTCAACCAGTGACCAAGCAATGCTTCATGTTGTAAAAGAGCATTAGCACTAAAAAGAGTCATCGTCACTGGTAGTCTCTGTATGAAGAATATTTGTGTGTCGTGTCCTGATCACGCTAGCGACACATGCATTATATCCGGTGTCTGAGTGATGTTTGGTTTGACTGTACATCAATAATTACCCAGAAGTCAAAGCGCAGCTGTGCGTGTCTCTGTTATACACGTCATGAAGCCTGTTGTGATGATGAACAGGTCTGAAGTGTGTGTGTGTGTGTGTGTGTGTGTGTGACGTGTGTGTGAATGTTGCCGAACACACTTCAGGCTCACACCAGGTCAAAGGTCAAAGGGCTCCTGCTGCTCACCTTCTCTTCCTCTGCTGCTATTGGTCGGTTCTGTGAATGACCGGACTCAGCCAAAGTGTAGTGTTGTGTTTCTGCAGTGCTCTCCCGCTCGTGTGTGTGTGTGTGTGTGTGTGTGTCGTGGTTTCGTCACGTGTGTTTTAGTGCAACATTCCGTGTTTTAAAGAGTATTTTTGTACTGATTTTGAGCACATGAAGCCGTGAACATGAACTCTGTAAATACAGTCGTGTAAAAATGTGCATTAAATATTTCTATCCATTACATTAGATTGAGACTCGTCGTTCTGTCTGACTCGGTCTGAGATGTTGATCAAGAGACTAAACTTTATCGTATTCTTATATCAGCTTTTTAAAGTGGTTTTTGGTTCTAGAGACGAAGTTAAAGAGCAGATTTCTGCATATAAGATCATGTAACGGTGGCTCATTAGTGAACATTAATGTATTAACTAACATGAGCAATAACATATTTATTCATCTTTTATAATGTTAGTTTATAATAATCCAGCTGTTCATTCTGTGTTCATGTCGTTCACAGTGCAGTAACTAATGTCAACTAATACAAACTTTGATTTTAATAATGTATTAGTACATGTTGAAATTAATATTAACTTAGATTAATAAATGCTGTTGGCGTATTGTTCATTCTTAGTTCATGTAAACTAATGAATTTTATGTTCCATTCTTACTTTTTTACTTATTTAAATATAAATGAATTAAAGAATTAATCCCCAAATAAATTAAAACTAGATGAAGAGTGAGGACATGCTTGAGTTTGAATGCTGAAATAATCTGTTTCTCTGTTCGTCTCACACAGATTTTATCCACATATCTGATTCTGATCCACTTCCGAATGTGGTTTTAAATCAGATCCATATCCGATATCTGTATGTCAGTCTCAACATTAGAATAAGCCACTACGAGGCTCACGTTTATTCACAAAGGTTTTTAATGTTGTATTATGAGGCAGATGTGCGTGTTTGTGTGTGTGTGTGTGTGTGTGTGTGTGTGTGTGAGCGTTTGGGAACTTTCAACGTTATATTTACCATCGTAAAGAAAAGAAATGGCGCGAACACAGTAACACTCTTGAACATCTGCCCGTGACTTATCAATAATATATAGGCAAACATATGTTATATTTAATGATAACTATAATCAAAGCAACAAGCTTCACTATCATCACCCGCTCTCTCTCTCTCTCTCTCTCTCTCTCTCTCTCTCTCTCTCTCTCTCTCTCTCTCTCTCTCTCTCTCTCTCTCTCTCACACACACACACACACACACACACACACAACGAGAGAGCTCCTCCTGCGCACACACACACACACACACACTCGTCTTCAGAGCGCATCATGTCCTCCTCGGGGAACTCCTCGAACCTCACGCGCCTGAACATGTTCGCGCAGTCTCCGTGGCGCGTGGCGCTGTGGTCGCTCGCGTTCGCGCTGGTCCTGGTGGTGTCGGTGACCGGGAACCTGGTCGTGATCTGGATCATCGTCGCGCACAAGAGGATGAGGACCGTCACCAACTACTTTCTGCTGAACCTCGCGGTGTCCGACGCGTGCGTGGCCGCGCTCAACGCGCTGGTGAACTTCGTGTACGGCGCGCGCGGGCACTGGCACTTCAGCAGCGCGTACTGTCGCTTCCAGAACTTCTACCCGGTGACCGCAGTGTTCGCCAGTGTGTACTCGATCAGCGCCATCGCCTTGGACAGGTGAGACACACACACACACACACACACACACACCAAAAATGAAGTGAGTTGATGCTTAAAACAAGCGAAATGATCCGCCGATGCAGTCAGAAAAATAATGTTGTTCTGTTTGAATTAAGATTATTTTTTCTGACCCCATCGGCAGATCATTTTACTTGTTTTAAGCATCAACTCATAAAACAGGACATAATATCTGATGTCATTGGACTCATCTAGTGAATGCATCTTGATATAAGAAATGTTTGATATTTGGACTGGAAGAACTGCATGTTTTACTCTGCGTCCGGATTACATTCATACTATATAGAACATACTTTACATTTCTCCATTTAGCTGACGCTTTTATCCAAAGCGACTTACAATCGCTATATATGTCAGAGGTCGCACGCCTCTGGAGCAACTAGGGGTCAAGTGTGTTGCTCAGGGACACATTGGTGTCTCACAGTGGATTCGAACCCGAGTCTCTCACACCAAAGGCATGTGTCTTACCCACTGCGCCACCACCACCTCTAATGAAAAACTTTAAATCCTCACTTGTCTGGTTTATGCTACTCTGAGCAATGCCTGAACGTTGTATTTCGAGCACTTCTTGTGTTGTTATGGCCTCTTCACGATGACTTGTTTTAGTCTCTTTGGATGAAGCGTCTGCTAAATGACTAAATGTAAATGTAGTTATTCAGAATAAGTATCTCCTCGAGAGTGTGTGTGATGTCGGCCTGAACTTTTAATCGCATGTACGGGTCACTTCCTGTGTGGTCAGGTACATGGCGATCATCCACCCGCTGAAGCCCCGCCTCTCGGCGACGGCCACCCGGGCGGTGATCGCGTGTGTGTGGACGCTGGCGGCGTGTCTGGCGTTCCCGCTCTGCTTTTACTCCGTGACGGAAGTGAGGCCGCACCGGACGGTCTGCTACGTGTCCTGGCCGCGGCGCGACGCCGACGCCTTCATGTGAGCCGCTGGTGTGAGTGTGTGTGCCGCTGCTGCTCTCCGCCAGCGCCTCATGAGTGTGTGTGTGTGTGTGTGTGGACAGATATCACCTGATAGTGGCGGCGCTGGTGTATGTCCTGCCTCTGACGCTCATTGCCGTGGTCTACACCCGAGTGGGGCTCACGCTGTGGGCCGGAGGGTTCCCCGGACACTCCTCAGGAAACTCCCAGGATCACCTGCAGGCCAAGAGAAAGGTCTCGCTACTCTTACACACACACACACACACACACACACACACACACACACACACGTGCATGCAGAGCGCCCTTCTCCACCTCACAAGCGGCCGAGTAAAGGTGCAGTGTGTGATATTAGCAGGATCTGTCGAGATCGCATGTGTTCAGGGGTTTATTAGCTTAGCCTTTCTCTACACACACCGCGGGTCCCCTTACATGTTTCTACGGTGGCCCTGAGCGGACACACGCGTTTCGTCACTTTAGCGGCTTTCGCACCTTTAGCGCTAGAAGCGTTTTTGAAGCATGTGTAAGTGTTTTCTCCGCCTGAATTTGAGTTATTGTGGTAATGTTGTGTGTAGGTTGTGAAGATGATGTTGATCGTGGTGGTGACGTTTGCCGTCTGTTGGCTCCCGTATCATGTGTACTTCATCGTGACGAGCTTCGACCGTAAGCTGAGGAGACTGCCGTCCATCCAGCAGGTCTATCTGTCGGTGCTGTGGCTCTCGGTCAGCTGCTCCATGTACAACCCCATCATCTACTGCTGCCTCAACAGCAGGTGTGTATCGCACACACACACACACACACACACACACACACACGCACACACACACACACACACACACACACACACTGTTTAAGTACACTTAAAAGAAAAGATTTACAGGGACATAAATACTACAAATGTAGTCAAATGCATCGAGTGTTGGACAGTATTCTAGGTCATTACATTTTTTTTTTCAGAGTTAAGTCGTAGGAAAGTACAAGTCATCCAGGTTTTTTTTATATATATATATATGTATGTCAGTTTCCATTAATTTTGTGAATTGGTTTCGCATGTCGGGGCAGGAAAAAATACATAGAGCTGAGTATCATCAGCATAACGGTGAAAATAACAGCAGATTACGAGGATATTGCACTGTAAAACTTGCTTTTCTCGCGCAGTATTTTTGTCTTGTTTCTATTGCAAATTTCTACAAATTCTTAAATCAACAACCATTTACTAGATAAAATTACGTTGGATATTATGTCCTAAATGCTACGTAAGAAAAGCATTTTTTGGTTCTGTTTGTGCCACAGGTTCCGGGCCGGATTCAAGCGTGTGTTTCGCTGGTGTCCCTTCGTTCACGAGTCGGACTCCGACAGACTGGAGCTTCAGATGACCCGGTTCCAGCCGACCTGCCAGAGCAGCCTGTTCACGGTCACGCGCGTGGAGTCCGATGCTAACGCTAACGCTAATCCCACCCAACGCAAGAGCTCCAGCACCAGCCAATCACGGGCCTCATCCCGGCCGTCACTCAACGGTGGTCTCCATGGAAACCCCTCGAGCGCCGCTGGGATGGATCTCGGATCAGAGTCGCTCACTAAACACTAATGCGGAACCAGCTGGGCATTAGCCTTCAGCGGCGCGCTGTTCTTACTCAGTGTTTCCGTCTCGTTTCCAGTCCAAATAAGATGCGTTTACTAGAGGAGTGATAGAAGATATTATGTCCTGTTTTCCGGGTGAATTAATTAACGTTAAGTGAGATTATGCTTAAAACAAGCAAAATGATCTGCCGATGGAGTGAGAAAAATAACATCGTGTCCGTTTGAATCAAGATTATCTTTCTGACCCCATCGGCAGATCATTTTTGGACTGGAAACACCACTAAACTACTGAGAAAGAAAAGCATTTTTCGTCGAGTCCACCAGCTTCACGTTGACCCGCTATTGTACTCTTTCAGTTCAAATACAGTATATAAAAACAAAAGTCACTACACATATGAAAGTGAATACTTGGTTCTGAGGACACACACACACACACACACACACACACACACACACACTGGTCTGTTATCAGCTGTCAAACTGGTCCAATCACCGCCATCCGCGAGCGGGGTTTGAAATCAACCTTTTCTCCCGCCGGCAGTGCAGTTTGGATTTCTTATTGAAGTAAATCCTGTCATCCAGCATCTCCTCTTCCTCGTTCCTCTTCCTCAAACATGTTTAGTTGCAGGACACAGAACACCAGAGACATGGCCATGCTGGACAATAACTGTGTGTTTTCTGTTCACCAAACGCTCTTTAATGTCAGCTATTGCTTCAATATGAATGACATCATCACTGCTCAGAAAGCACAACCGCTGTAAGTATCAGACACTGGAGAGCAGATCACTGTGGCCTTCTGACGGCCGCACACACGCCTGCTGAGATACAGTACACGACCGTGAGTCTGGGCTGCTTTTAAAGACATTAGTAAGTGTGTTAATCATCTGTGTATCACTGAAGCTGATGCTTCACGGCATGTTCATTAGTTATGGAGCAAGAAACCCCATAAGGAACCACAGCACCACATATAACGTGTTTTAATAAACTCAAAGTAACCCGTCAAAAGTGTCCTGTCTTATCTTCATCAATCCAGCGCTTTAACAGTTCAGAGTTTCACAGCAGCGTTAGAGTGATAATAACAGGAGATTACAGTCACACAGAGTGTTTGGGCTTTACAGCAGATCTAGAATAAAGTTATCGTCCAGATAAAGTTAGTTTAGATTGATTCACTTCCGTTATAAAGATCATTAGTGATTAACTTTGGGGGCGCTAACACGACACCGCTCTACTGAACACAGAAACTGTTCATGTGATCCGGCCGTTCATTTGCACAGCCGTGTTTGAGCTCCAGATGTGTACGTTTTTTTTAAAATGAGTTTTGAAAATGATACCGTAATCATCTCCATTTAAACTCTAAAAACATGAATCTTTGAGAAGGGTGACGGCTTCCTCATGACGTCATCAGCGCAGCGTGTATAGGGGGAACCGCAGCGGTCCCAGCACTGAGCCTTGTGGGACGCCTCAACTCCTCATGTTTACAGTCTTCAGATGACAGATCCGTGATCAGCCGTGATCCCCTGTGTGTCTGATCAGGAAACTCACACTAAAGATGCACAGATGAGTCTCGTGGCGTTTGTCCAGATAAGATGAGCTACACAGGCGGCAATAACCGTGTGTGTGTGTGTGTGTGTGTGTGTGTGTGTGACACCAGTTATTGCTGTTAACACAGTAACAGAACTTCTCTAAGCAGTTGAAAGCTCATGAAAAACTCTTGTTTCGATCAATTACTGTGATTCATCTAATTCTCCTGATGTGTGTGTGAGAGTTCTTCGTGATGGTGAAAGACAGAATGTCTCTACACACACACACACACACACACACACACACACACAGTGTATATACACACTGGCAGTCAGTGACTATAAATGGAAGTGGTTTGCGAGTCAGATGATGTACACACACACACACACACACACACACGCACACGCGCGCGCGGGCACCGATGGCACTGAACATGTCATTCGTCACACTTGTGGCACAGACATCTGGAATATAAACAGGAACAAACAGACGTAAACATCAGGACTTTCAAACAAACACAGTGAGTGGTGTGTGACGTTACACACACCTTCAGCACTGATGAAGTGTTCGAGCTGATGAGCTGACCTCATGTGATGAACACACACACACACACACACACACACACACACACTGCAAAAAACTCAGTCTTGTTTCCAGTCCAAATATCAACCATTTCTTAACTCAAGATGCATTTCCTAAAGTAGTGAAAACACATCAGATATTACGTCCTGTTTCCCGTTAATCAATATGAAGTGAGTCGATGCTTAAAGCGAAATCATCTGCCGATCGGGTCAGAAAAATAATATGAATTCAAACAAAAACAACATTATTTTTCTCACCCCTTAGATATCAGATCATTCTTCTTATTTTGGACAAAAACTCACTTCATTTTTATTTCCCCAGAAAACAAGTTTTAATGTCTGATATCATTTCACTCCTCTAATAAAAGCTGCATCTTGATTTCTGAAATGTTTGATATTTGGACTGGAAACAAGACAGAAATAATGAGGAAGAACAGCATTTTATTGCACACACACACACACACACACACACTGATTCATACATATCATATGCTGTGAGACTCGTGTGTGTGAATCAGTGTGTGTGTGTGTGTGTGTGTGTGTGTGTGTGTGTGTGTGCATTAGTCGCTGGTCAACTGCTGCTTTTCTCAGAACTGTCAACAGGTGAGAAAGATGTTCATGTTGTGTGTGTGTGTTTAGTGTGTTTAGTTGTATGTGTGTTTAGTTGTGTGTGTGTGTGTGTTTAGTTGTGTGTGTGTGTGTGTGTGTGTGTGTTTAGTTGTGTGTGTGTGTTTAGTTGTGTGTGTGTGTGTGTGTTTAGTGTGTTTAGTTGTATGTGTGTGTGTGTGTGTGTGTGTGTTTAGTTGTATGTGTGTTTAGTTGTGTGTGTGTGTGTGTGTGTGTTTAGTTGTATGTGTTTGGTTGTGTGTGTGTGTGTGTGTTTAGTTGTGTGTGTGTTTAGTGTGTTTAGTTGTATGTGTGTTTAGTTGTGTGTGTGTTTAGTTGTGTGTGTGTTTAGTTGTATGTGTGTTTGGTTGTGTGTGTGTTTAGTTGTGTGTGTGTTTAGTTGTGTGTGTGTGTGTGTGTGTGTGTGTATTATTGTCTGAACAGTAAATGTTCTCCTCATTCTGTCATCTGTTCGTGTGTTCACTTTATTTTTGCGACAAAGTTTTCAAAATCTGATTTGTAACTAGTTTTCTGTGAGTTTGTGTTCGATGGCAGTATTTCTAACTGGCTGTATATAAAAAACAACAGATTTTCATTATGTAGATTATGTGATTTTTATCTTTTTACTACAATCAAGAAAACGTGATTTTTTTTAGTTCATTATCTTCTGAAATAAAGTGTTGAGAGACACAGATTCAGACTCTAGAATAGCACTAAATAACTGAAGGAATCAACATGTTTAATAATTAAATTGTGTGTGTGTGTAGGTTCACCTAGGTCAAAGTTCACTCACAGACACCTGATCATTTGAAGTAAGAAATGGGCGAGGAAATCCTTTCAGCAGAAGAAACAGAAACCTGTAAGTACACAATATACACACAACACACACACACACATACACACACACTAGTTCACTTGAACTACCAAACAGCACCTCTACAGCATAATGTAATGTTATTGTAAATTTCAGCATTTACTAATACATTTTTAAATAGTTATATCCTTTAATGTTTGTTACTTCATGGACAAGTAACATGAACAAACTATGAATATTTGTATTTTTATTAACTAACATTAACAGATGAATCATTGCTGTAGAAATATAGTGCAAACTGAGTCATTTTAGCTAATGCATAATTTAGCAGACCTTATTATCTTATAACCTTATTAAAGGTTTAGCATAAAAGACACACACACACACACTTGTAGCTGAGGTATGAACTGTGTGTGTGTGTGTGTGTGTGTTTTACTCAGATCAGAAACCAGCGTCCAAACCATCGGGCTTCTGTGGTAAACTCCAGACCTGCCCCACACCACACGGCTTTACAGCTTCCGTCATTACCAAAGGTGTGTGTGTGTGTGTGTGTGTGTGTGTGTGTGTGTGTGTGTGTGATGTTTGGTAGGTCTACACTACATCATGTATTGTGGACGTGTACAGGCGCAGGTCCACCGGCTGATCCGGCTAAACTTTGGGATAAGCAGAAAGACTAACATTAGCATAGATGCCATTCTTCATGTGTGTGTGTGTGTGTGTGTGTGTGTGTGTGTGTGTGTGTGTAGCTCTGCTGGGGTTGCTGTTGTTCGGGGTGGTGTGGGCCGTGACGGGTCCTGCATGTCTGCCCGGACAGAACCTCTTCGGCCTCGTGATTCTGTTCCTGTCGGCCGTGTGTGGAGGAAAACTCATCAGTGCCTGCAGATTACCCAGAACACCTCCAATACCAGCTCTACTGGGTACAACACACACACACACACACACACACACACACAGTCTTAATTTTGCATTGGGACCGTGAAGTATCGGTAGTAATTAGTAGAAATCCTGACAAAAAAATCATAATCATAACATAAGATTTAATGTCATAATT